GAGGGATGAGAGAGAGGGGAGGAAGAAGAAGAATAATAATAATAATATAATAATAAATTATGTGGGTCTTTATTTAAATAAAAAATACCACATGTAAAAACAAAAATACCATCTCATCAAATAACGTTACGTGGGTTTTCCATGTAATTATTAATTTTTTTTAAATGTAATTTTGTGGCAAGATAACTTGCCACCTGTCATTTAACTGACGGAAGGACTATTTTGGTACCAAAAATGAAAGTTTGAGGATAATTTTGGTATCTTTTAAAGTTGAGGGACAATTTTGGTACCAAAGTGGATAGTTGAGGGACCAAAATGGTACTTAAACCTTCTAAATTTCAAATTCCTCTACAATTCTACCTTTATAAGTAAGTTGCAACTTTATTCTTAAAACCCTACCTTCTTGAGTGGCGTGCACTTGCCAAGGTTGTCATCTTCATTTTGCTGGGTTGTCGTCTTCATTTTGTTGGGTTTATTCTTAAACACATAATTTGGGTGTCGACACTATGGGTTAATAGTCCAGAATCAAACTTTCTGTTTCCTGTTTTGTGTCGACATGTAATTCAGGGTGTCAGCACTATATGTTCAGCGTCCAACATTCAAGTTTCTTATTTTGTTTCGAATCCTACTTCTGTTTCAAATCCTACTTCTATTCCAATTAGGGTTTCTAAAACCTTATAAATACCCATCCAAATTCAGAATTAAAAAAGCTTGGGAGGCTGGTGGCAGCCCTCTTTTGGGTATTCTTGGAGATCAAGATAAAGATTTAAGAATTTGTTTATAATTTTTAAATCTTTTCAATTTTTACAATTGTAAAAGAGTATAAAAATTTGTTTATAATTTGTCCTTTTTTTAATTATGTTTCTATTTATTTGGATATTAACGTATTTTATATTTATGTTTTTTACTTAATGTTAAATTTATTTACATTATCTCATATATTTAATAGTATTAAAAACCGATCAATCTGACCGAACCACACCGATCCGATTTAAATTGGATTGGTTTGGTTATCATATAATAGTGGATTGGATTGGTTCAAAAATTTTACTAACCGATTAAATTGGATTGGATTAAAGAATATTAAAATCCGAACCAAACCACACCGCGAACACCTCTAGCTTTATTATTATTTCTTTTGCAAATGAGGAATATCCCACCACTAGGGCTGGCCACGTTGCCAGTCTTGTCGTGGCAACCCTCCAACCGAACGGTTTGGGCCAGTAATGGTTACCATACGGTAGGCCTAAATTTACCGTTTGGGCCATTTCTTGAGTAATGGTGATGAGGCCCATTGTCAATTTTACCGCATGGCTCTCCAGATCGAACCATGCCGCAATTTTTTTTCTTTATTTAATGATAATGGCATTTTTGTAATACCTTGCACAGCGACCGCACTATAAATATTATCCATGGCGATGTGCTTTTAGTTCTCTATATTTTCTTTAATTTTGGTATTATTTTTTATTACCATTATTATTAATTTAATCAGACTTTCTATTTATTGTAAAAAAATGGAGCTTTTAGCTTGTCACATCAGTATCAAGAAAAGACGCGATATGCAGAGCACATTTGATGATGCTTCAGACGAAGTGAATTCAGTGCAATCAATTTTTTTTTTTTTTTTTAACAGGAAGAATTTCCAGGGAGCTGCAAGAGTAAGGCCCAAAAATAAAATTCACATCATTATATTTAGGGCTTGTGAAAAATTAAGATTCATTGGCAGTCTCGACAAAATCAAGGTAATCCATCCATCCATCCATCAAATGATTCTTACGGGGGATACACCTGAGGAGGACCACTTGATAAATAGTTCTCATCTTGTTAAGACTGCCCTGCAGTACTGACTTTCTGTTTCCTGTTATATTTAATCACATTTTTAAAGAGTGATAACTAAGCCATCAAAAGTTGGATGAATTCAGTGCAATCATTTTGTTACAAGAAAATGATGAAGGAACCATGGATATGATGTGCAGAGCTTGAGAGGCTCTTTCACATTGAATAATTCCACTCATTTTTGTCGTTGATTTATGTCTTGTTTTTTACATTACCAAGACTAGAAGCGGTGAAATATTAAACTTTGGCTTACAAAATTCTATTTCTTCTACATTCAGAGTTCCCTTTCTTTACTCTTTTTTCTCTTAAATGCAATAGATTCCAATGCAGGATTAATTATATAAATAATCAGATCAGTTTGTTTTTCTTACAGCATAGAAAATAAAATTTTAAGAAAATTTGAAAATAAAAATCTATTACAAGTTTAGATATTAACACAAATAAGCAGTAAAATACTAATTAACTAAGGATATATATATATTATGCAGCATGCACTATTAATTTATTAATTTAAGAAGTTAGGACATTAACAACATTATTGTGAATATGTAGATGCACATTATCGTACAATAAGTAATATAATAATGTATTCCAAATTATCCCATAGAGCATAAATATTAAAAAAAAAAAAACTCTCACTAAGTATGAAAGTCATGTTAATTGTAATTTTATCTAATAATTTCGAAATTTAAGATAGAGAAACACAATTTAATTAATTCTAAATTCAGCTAATTTGTAAAATTAGTTTCAATTTCTAAACAATGATCTAGGACACAATTTTCGTCAACCCAATCCGCTTCAAACTTTATTGTTGAATTTTCTCTCAATTTATTAATTTTCAAGTGACAGTCAAGAAATCTATATATAATTTACTAATTTTTCTTAAGATCTAGTAATATTTATATTCTAATTTATCAAGTTTTGTATTTCTACACAAATCTAAATAAGTAGAAATATTATTAAGTCTTATAATTTTTCTTTTGAAATTGTATATAAATATTATGAGTATATTTTTATCTTTAACTTGTGTTGTTTTATTCAAGGATTCAACTCTAATATATTTTTTAAAGATAAGTGTCAACTATTTAAATAACTAATTAAGT